GTTTCATCTCCTCTCCCTCTGCCCATCTCTCTCCCTATCGGTCTTGCCTCCTACTCGCCTGGCTTTGTATTTTAATCTCGCTTGCTCTCTATCGCTGTCTGAGTAGCTCAATGAGCTTCCATCCACAGAGTCTGACTTCTGTCTCCTGGAACAGGAGCGGAGACACTGCATTAGTCTGATAAAAGAGCTTCGGAGAGCCACACCAGCCATTGCCTTAGTTTTGGAACTCCCTCTGCAGCCTGCCTCGATACACACACATTACCACTGGGATTCCCACTCGCAGGCATGGCGCGCAGCAGCACCCACACCCAGGGCTCTCCTTAGGCAGACGCTGCATATGTAGCTGCATAGGGCACCCAGAAATCTGGGGCACCCCCCAAGACAGCAGGTAAGAGGGATCGGCTCCCCCACACACAGTGTGCTGCAATCTCCTTAGCCAGGAGCTGTATTCATAGAGGTGAATGTGTGGGTGTAACACCTCCTGTGTGAGGAAGAGGGCCCAGGGGTCTCTGTGGCTCCGTATCCTTTGCTGCCTCATTCCTCCCTGTTGGGCTGTGAGCCCAGGCTGCCACAGCATCTGCTGCATATGAAGCTCAGTGTGTGTCAGCGATGGGGGGGTTTCTTGTTTGGGCACCCATTTAATAATACTGTCTAGGGCCCCATAATCCTAGCAAAGTCCTGCCCACACCTCAGGTGTTTGTAAAAGCAGCAGTGATACTGGGTTTCACACACAGGCCAGTCTGAGCACTGCAAGAACCACATGTAGCAGTGGGAGTGGGATTCACACTCCGGCCCCTTTGGAACCAGGAACCTCCATCCCAGCACAGGCACTGGGATTCACACTCCCTGCCTCAGAGTGCAAAAGGATCTACATGCATTTATCACTGGTTGTGCAGGGTCTGTCATTGACTGTGTCACTGCTGGGATCCCCACTCCCTGCCCCAAAGCATAGCCAGACCTACCCCACTGCGCATTGGTCCCTGAGGCTACGTCTAGACTGCAGGCTTCTTTCAGAAGAAGCTTTTCTGGAAGAGATCTTCCCAAAAAACTTCTTCTGAAAGAGAGCGTCCACACTGGCCAAGCATATCGAAAAAGCAATCTGCTTTTTCGAACGATAGTATCCACATTGATCGTACACTCTCTCTCATAATTACTATGGACAGAGTGGCCACTAGGGCACCCAAGCTTTTTCCAGGAGGCCGCATCTGTCTGGAAAAAAAACCCTCTTCCCCATCCACACATGCCTTTTTCTGAAAGAGTTCTTTCAGAACGCGGTTTCTTCCTCGTAGAAAGAGGTTTACCGCTGTCAGATTTGATTTCCCACTCATTTTACCAGGGTCAGGGTGGCTCCAACCCTCAAGGAATTTGAGATGGGATTCCTCCCTTTTAGCTTCTGAGCCCAGTGGGAATCTCAGCCCTAGGCTGAGCACCAAGACTCATTCCCAGCCTGTGAGGACATCAAGCCCTATGTACCTGGTAATGAAGGTTCTCTTATGTTTTCTCCCACAGACACACACCTTGTTCTCCTTGCTGGGCCTCAGCCATGCCTATGTGACCAGTAAGGGGAAGCTGAAGGGAGTTCTGGCTTTGGAGGAGGTAAAAACAGTCAAGGTCCCATGCAGACTCCGCCCCACAGTCCTGGTCAGCCCAGGGCATTCTGTGTATTGTCAGGTTATCCTACTGTAGGCAGGGACCAGCTGAGGGGTGGAAGCATTAGTTCGGCAGTCTCTACCTTTCCCAGCCTCCTAGTTTCAAATCCTGGCCGTGCTGGCTTAGCCCGTTTCCCGGCCCAGGGGACACATTGTGTTTCTGGATGTCAGTCTTCCAGAAGGGGCCTCAACAAACCAAGGCCTTGTCTGTTGTACCTGGATATTAAAGATCCTGTTCATGAGAGTAGGGCTCTGGGCTGTGTGGCCCATTCCAGATTCATTTAGCCAGTCCCCCTTCCAGAAATGGCTACACTGAGCTCACATGGGGTTTGCCAAGTGCTGTGGGAGGCAAGGCACGATGGCAATGCAAACACTGCTCTTTCCAGGGGCTAGTCTCCTGCCCCCTCGTTGTGGAGAGTAGCTGGACTGTTCTCCTGCGGGTTATCAACTGTCCTTTAATTCCCTCTCTTCTCTGACCTTCCCCGCTTCTGATAGCTCCAGAAGGCAATTGAGGGCTCCACACGCTCTGGTGTCCGCCTCCGCCCGCCTCTCGCCAGCTTCCGGGACACCAACCGGACCTCGCTGAGCAATGAACAGAGCGGCCAGGTTTCCCAGGTGTGGAACTGGCAGGACAGCTGTGTGGTACCTGTGAGAGGAGCTGCAGACTTAGGGATGGGGAGCCCCTTGCCCTCCATCCCCCCTTCCCCACAGCCCCCACCCGGCCCTGAGGAGGGGAAGGGGCAGCGCTCTGTCTCAGCGGCTGATGCTGAGCTGGAGGAGATGGAGCTCTCTGGCCCTGCTGCTGAGAACATCTCAGACATCCTCAAGGACCTGAGCCTGCGCTCCACGGACGTGGAGGAGGAGGATGAAGAGGACGTGCCCCTATAACTGGTGGGAGGAGGGATGTCCCACCCCTCTCCCTTCAGCACCCCAGCCCTGCTACACATGCTCCTCTAGGAGAGGCCTGGGGACTGCATCTCACCAGCACTTTGGGATCTGCAGTGACTCAGTTGAGAGAGGGGCATGGGACTGCCCTGCCATCTGCTGCCATGCCTGCCTGGAGAGTTGTGCTACTGGGGACAGACGGTGGGGGAAGGGGGCATGAGAAGGGGGGAGGGACTCCCCCAGGTGGCATTGAGGCCGCTGGGATTTAGGCCCCTTCTCTGTCCTCTCCCAGCTTTCATGGTGAGCATGTGATGGGGATAGGAGGAGCAAGAACAAAAATGAGGCATGGACACCACTGGCTGCAGGGGCAGATGCTCTGAACAGTTGTGCCATTATGAGAGGGTGGTGGGGAGCAGAGAGGGCCACAGCCCTTCCCCTTCTCTATTCCCCGAACACCCTGCAACACAGCAGGATTGTCTCTCTTTTTCCCCTCTCCCCTCCCCCCCACACACATTCACACATACACACAGTCCTGCAGCAAACCCCCCAGTCCTGACCTCAGAGTCCTGACTGGGGAAAATATACAGAGAGCAAGACCCTCATGTATAATCCATTCAGACACAGCTGTAAGCCAGGCAACTGGGGGCTGGGCAATAGTTTTATGTACAGTGGTTCATTCATTAACACAACACAACACTCCTCCCTGCAGTCCCTAAGGGTGGGCGCCAGACACCCCACACACAAACCCATGCCACCCACACACACATCCTAGAAGCAGTTTTCCTTCTCAGAAGCCCACCATCCCATGCCCCTGCAGCCCCCAGACGTCCCGCTCTCATCCCGTGTGCCAAGAATAGTTTTATGTACAGTGGTTCATTCATTAACACAACACAACACTCCTCCCTGCAGTCCCTAAGGGTGGGCGCCAGACACCCCACACACAAACCCATGCCACCCACACACACATCCTAGAAGCAGTTTTCCTTCTCAGAAGCCCACCATCCCATGCCCCTGCAGCCCCCAGACGTCCCGCTCTCATCCCGTGTGCCAAGAACACACATAAAGAAACTCTGGGGCTAGTGCTGGATTCCCCCTCGCACTGCTATGGAGAGGAAGGTTTCTTCCTGTCCCCACAAGCATGGCTGGGAGGGAGGGAAGGGGCCTGATCCATGTCACAGCGCTTTAATATACTCAGGACTTTAACAAAGAATTGGATGGGAGGAAAGGCTCCTTGTTTTCCAGTTGGCTCACTGAAGTCTTTACGCAGAATGGCCGAGGCTGGAGTGGGGTGGTCAGAAGTCGCAGGCTTGTGTGAATGAGGAGTAAGATTGTATGTGCCTATCACTCAGCTATTCACGTTTGTCTCTGAACCACTGTCAGCAATCTCTATTAAGTTATAGTCTTAAAATATAAGAACTCCCAGGGATAGGGGCTGAGAGGAGCCTGGTGGGAGAGAAATGGCAGAGGGAAGCCTCTCTCGCCCAGCCCTTTCCCCTCTGCTAGCACAGGTCGCCCCACTGTTAGCTCCTGCTATTCCAGGACTGGTTACCTGCCACACAGCTCTGCTAATACAGCTCAATTGTAACTTGCAGCAGCCTTTGCTATTCCAGTGCTGGAATCTCTGAGCCTCCTACTTTGGCTGACCAGCCCCAATCCACCCCAGGATTTCCAGTCTGGAGACCCCCACCCACCAGCATTGCCGCTTTCCTTCTGTCCTCAGTCTCAGCAGGTCTGGGCTGTCCAACAGAGGGGCCCCTCCCAAGCCATTGCCATCTTCATCTGGGTCCAGAGAGATGCTGCAGCAACTCAGTGCATGCATGTGACCCCCTGACTCTCTGAGGGAGGAGGCTGCCAGGCTAAATCACTATCCCTGCCAGGTTTTTTCGGTATGACAACATCCAGTGCTCTATAGGCTGCAGATTTCCCAGCCATTGTGAAACTTTCTACTGTCAATTTTTCATCAAAGAAACCAAGTAGCAGCCCTTGGGACTCTGCCAGACATATTCCCACTCATCAGGCTGTGAGGAGAAGAGATGCCAGGCACTTTATGGTATGTCCTGATGCCTGGCCAAGTGCACCCCTGTGAGCTGGCTGCCTGGAGACTACCACAAAGCCAGAGGCAGCATGTTTCCCAGGCTATGTCTAGACTGCAGGCTTCTTTCGGAAGACGATTTTCCAGAAGACATCTTCCAAAAAAACTGCTTCCGAAAGAGAGCGTCCACATGGCCAAAGCACAACGAAAAAGTGATCTGCTTTTTCGACAGATAGCGTCCACATGGAATGGACACTCTCTCACATTTCAGCTTTGATTAGTATGGGTGGAGTGGCCACCAAAGCACTTGTGCTTTTTCCTCTTCTTCCAAAAGAACTTCCTCTTCCCTGTCCATATGCCTTTTGCCAAAAGAGCTCTTTCACAAAAAGGCTTCTTCCTCGTAGAAAGAGGTTTACCAATGCCAGAAAAACCCCGCTATTCTTTCAATTTTCTTTTGGAAGAATGTGATTGCGGTGTGGATGTAATTGAAGTTTTTTTGGAAAAACTGCCTTTTTCTGAAAAAAAAAACCTCTGCAGTGTAGACATACCCCCAGTTCTTGCCATCTTCCTTCTTCCTGCAACTGACTGACACCAACTTTGTTGGGCTTGCCAAGCTTATTTAAGCAGATGGTTCCCCCACAAGTGTTCCAGAGGCAGGTAAAAATCCCAGGGCACCTGTCAACATACTGCAGTGGAAATTTCTCCTTGGCCTCAGTTCTAGCAATTAGGTTTCTATATATAAATAGGAACCTTTCTGAAGCCGGGGGCCTCCATTGTGAGCTGGGCCACCAAGCCGGAGTGCCTGTCTCCCCAGGAGGGAAGGATCCCAAACTGCACTCCTGTGCATGCCCTGTGTTTCTATATGGTTCCTCAGGCAGCAGGGCTTTGTTGGGGGAGGAAGGGTTTGATTTAGATGTCTGGTACTCCCTGGGTCCCTGCCCTACTCAGTGGTCCCCCTACACTAGGATCCCTGTCTTCTAGGTCTGTCCCACCCTTTCGGGGACAGGGGCTTTCTCACATGCTCTTTTTGGAACTGATGTTCATTTTTTCCAGGTGTAGCAGCAACATCATTTTAAGATTAATACAAATAAATAGAAGGTGGAGGCAGCCTGATGACAGCAACTCAATTCACAGGGGTTGTTCCGCACCCACCAAACCTGTTCCTTCCAGGGCTGCCAGGCAACAATGCTCAGACTGACCCTGTCTCCTTCCTGACCCCTGCCAGGGGAGGGGGACAGGAACAGAGCAGCTGCCCTTTTTTCTTAAAGTGACTGGTATATTTTAAAGGTGGGAGAGAAAGAGGAAAATAAAGTTTTGTCTTCTTTTAAAGTACCCATAACTATCTGGTGCATCATGCCCCATCAGTACTACAACTCTGTGAGCGGAACCAAGCCTGAGTGGTCCCTTTCTCTCCAGAAGGATGAGGTTCTCAAACTGCATCCTGCTATCCCTCCTCCCCCAGGGTGGATTATATGTGGTCCCTCAGCCAGCGGTGCTCATCCAGAAGGTAGTGCTCAGAGATACCAGGATGTGGGGCAGGATTTCCATGTTCACTGGAGGTCACTTTGCCTCATGCAACATGTAGCTAAAATCCTTGGCTGGAGAAAGGGAGAGACCCGTGTGCATGAGAGCAAGACAGAGATAGCCCCACCATCTGTGTGTGTAGCTGAGAAATACAAGGAGAGGGTTTCTTGGGGTGATGCACACAAGGGTATGGGGCAGGAATATGAGGCAAGGAATATGAGTCAACAATGTGATAAGTATCCGAGGGGTAGCCGTGTTAGTCTGGATCTGCAAAAGCGAAAAGGAGGCCTGTGGCAAGGTTATTCTAGGTTGATAAGGTCATTCTAGGGCGTATTTAAGACACAGGTGGTAATTGTCTTGCTCTAGGGAGGCCTCCGGTGTCCAGTTCTGGGCACCACGCTCTAGGAAAGATGTGGAAAAATTAGAGAGAACCCACAGCACAACAATAATACAGGCATTAGAAAACTGATCTATGAGGAAAGGTTAGAAAAATTGGGAATGTTCAGTCATAGAAACTAAGGCTGAGGGAGAACCTGCTAATCAGCTCCAAAAGTTTTAAGGGTTGTTACAAAGAGGCTGGTGATTGATTGTTCTGCATGGCCACTGAAGGGAAGACAAGAAGTAGTGATCCTAATCTGCAGCAGGGCAGATTTACATTAGATACTTCTAACTATGAGGGTTGTTTAAGGTCTGGATCAGGTTTCCAAAGGAGGTTATGGAATCCCCATTACTGGAGGTTTTAAGAACAGGCTGAACAAACACCTGTCAGGAGTGATCTAAATATATTTGGCCCTGCCTCGGTGCAGGGGACTGGATTAGTTGACCTGTTGAGGTTTCTTTTACCCTTACATTTCTATGATACCTATGCAGCAAAAGCTCTAGCGTACATCAGGATTCCCTCTAAGCTGCGCAGCAGCACACACTGCAGCTGCTTACTCAGGCCCACCCAGTCAGGCAGCTGCCTGTGCAGAGTCCTGAGCCCTTAGCTGGGTACGGATGATTAAACAGCTGGGGGACCATGCTGCCACGCAGCTTACAAAGAACCTTGGTGTACATGTATTTATAGCAGAAAAACGTAATCTTGCTGATATAACCTGCATCTGGTTTGCTGGTATAACTATACCAATGTTGTATCCTAAGATGCACCTGAACACCTGGAATAGACTCGCACAGAAACCATGGGCAAAAAAATAGAACTGATAGTAGATTTATGAACCCAGGATAGAGCACTGGTGTGCCCATTACTGGTATACTTGCCCCAGTTCTGTTATTCACCTTGAGAAGGATGCTGCAAAGGGCTCAGAAAAGTACTGCAAAAATAATTAGGGGTCTGGAAAACCCGCCTCACAGTAAGTGCCATAAGAAGTTAACCGCTGAGTTCATCCAAGAGAAGGCCTAGACCACTGCAACAGTTACGATCAAGAGACCTCTACAGCATGGGCTGGGAGCCAGTTGGCTTTTAGCTCAGAGGGTAGAGGCTCCTAGAGTCATCTCCCAAGGTCCCTAGTTCAAATCCTCCTTGGTGATGGTTACATCTACACAGCAGGAAGTATAAGCTAGGGCACTCTTCCTCCTTGTAAAATGATGGTTATAGGAGTCAGAGTAAGACGTTCTCTGGCTGGACAGTATTTTGACATTAAACCTCATTCCAGGAGGAATAACAGGTAGTTCGAACTAGGGCTTTAATTCAAACTACTGGGTCCCTGCCGCGTGTAGACGCAGGCAGTTAGTTCGGGCTTGTAAATTTCAAAAATGGCGACTGACCGGGAAGATGCAAATCAAGCACGGGATATTTAAATCCCGGGCTTGATTTGCAATCGGAATGCCTACATTTGCAGCCCTAGTTCAAATTAGGCTGCAAGTGTAGACATACCCTCAGAAGCGACGTGACTGCAGTCTAGAATTCTTTCCTGGGGAAGAGAGCGTTGAACCAGCAGAAAGCATATCAAGATCCAGGGGTTGGAAACTGAAGCTAAACAAATGGAGACATGCATTTTTAACTCTGAGAGTAATTAACAACTGGAACAATTTACCGAGAGATTTGTTGAATTTTCTATCACTTGGCATTTTTAAATGAAGACTGGCTGTCTTACTAAAAGGTACGTTCTAGCTCATCCAAAAGTTATGGCCTCAATGTAAGATCTACCTCAAACCCAAATACCCTTACCTCTTTCTCTGAAGCCTTGCCCTGCTTGCTCTGTTGCCCTTCCCTCCCTGAATCTCATTCACTTTCACCAGCCTGGGTTGGGGGTGCAGGCTCTAAGTCTTCAACATGTGGCAAATGCCCTATCCCCTTGGCCACCACTGGGTCCACCCCACCCTGCCTTCCTAAGTAGGTTGGGTGAATTCTCCATATTGTGTTATGTTTTGAGTCCAGATTATCATAACAGCCCCTTCTGGCCTTAAAAGTATAAGAATACATTTCTATGCCCTGTTGAGAAGGGAAGACATCTTCTGGCAGTGCTGAGATCAGCAAATGGAACAAGGGGAGGATGCTTGCATCTGTTTGGTCCTGGGGACTAGTTCAGTTCTTGAGCTCAGACTCCAGATCTACCTCAATGTGCACCTCTGCTGATGCAGTCCCAAAAGGCCTTGTGGAAGCTGGGAATAATCAGGCATAGGAATCTTTTGTCCATGACGCCTATTGCCCATGGCCTGGAATGCCCCCAGCACTGGAGAATCCTGCAAGGCATGGGCAAAGCTCTCTTTGAGGTTCCGGGTAGCTGGGTAGGCCTCAGGCTGAAGGCTGCACCATAGCCAGCATCCAGGGGCTGTAGGACAGTCAAGGATTCTCCCTAGTGCTGGTCTCTGACATTGCCTGGGCTTCCCTTTACACAAAGTAAATATTCTGGGCAATTAAAGCTCTATACTCCTTTCTTAGACCTGTACTTTTCTGGATACCTTTCTGCCTGCATGGAAGTGGCCCTCTGCTGCACAAAGCCTCAGCCTTTGACCTGGAAACCTTTGCTCCATAACACGAATCCCAAACCTTCACTCCAGGACCTGAACCTCCAGCCTCAGCTCCATAACACATACACAAGGAGCTTTACTTTAAAACCAAAGTCTGCTCCCAAAACCTGTAAACTTCATCCCACATCAGCAAAGCTTTGAACTTTCTCTACAAATTGAAACCGAGGTCTATATGCCAAACCTTCATCCACGATCCTGAACCCTTCCAAGGCAGGAAGCCCTGGAGCACATGGAATTGCAAGCAGATTGTATCTCTCCCTAGCACCATCGTGCCTCCCCCAACTCCCCTAGAGTCACTATCCTCCGTGTGCTGTGCTCGGAATGGCCTGTAGTCACTGGATGTTGCCAGGCCAGTGCTTAGCCAAGAGCACTGCAGTAAGGTGAGGGGGTAGAGCCTGATTCTGGATGATTTCCTCAACCCTTTTCTCTCCAGCACATACAGACAGCCCAGCCCCAGATTTCTGGCTCTTGCTGGTCTGGTGGCTCAGAGAGCTAATGGAGCCCGTGTCATGGGAGGGGAGTATTGTCAGTAACACAGCAGCATGGAAGGAGGGAGAGAGCTGAACAGCAGTACTTGCTGCAGCTGAAAGACCTGTCTTATACTCCGAGCCATAAGTAGTATCAAGTACCATGTGTCCCCCACAGCCTGCACTTCCACAATGGCTGGTGGATGGGAAGCCAGGTCTTCTGCACATCCCCCCACTTCGCTCTGAGCCCAGACATCCCCTCCCCCCATGCACTCTGAGCACTGTGGTTGCATGCCTCCTGCCACGGCGTGCTAAGGGGTAGGCAGTGCTCCTAGGGCCTCCTCTTCCTTTCCACATACAAGTCATGCGTTCACACAGAGCAGCCATAACAGAGCAGTCACTGCTCTGTTCCTCAGTCTTCCCCACCTACACACAGGGAAGAATATTTACCAATGGTGACCTCACAGGGGTCCTGTGAGGCTCAGTTCATGACACTAAGGGCTTGAAGAGCCTATGCTGGAAGATGCTAAAGGAAGACTTTGGCTACCATGGCGAAGACTAATCAGTAGAAATGTCTAGAGAGAGATAAGCACGGAGATAGAAGACATGAGAGAGTTATTACTGACTATCTTTAGACATCAATAGCAAGTTTTAAAACAAATATAATGAAGACAGATTTTAAATATAAACTATTTTTATAAAAATAAATCTTAAAGCTGTCCAGTAAAAAAAGGCAAAGTCACCTGCAAATCTGAATAGATGAAGGAAAATAAAAAATCTAGGCAGAAAAAGGAAAATCACTAACATAAGGTCAGCATTTCAGACACAAGTTGAAGCTACATTCTCCTCAAAATCTAACCGCTAACCCCAAGCGTAACAGAACTGTGAGCAAAAGACAACAATGAAGCTTAATGAAGAATAAGTTGCCAGACAAACTTGGGTGTTTTTTTCCTCTGCGGCATACTAGAGAAAGCAGGAGTCGTAACGCCCTTTGATTTTGGACTTGTATTTCATGAGGTGAAGCACACAAACTTCTCACAAATTGTTGGACCAAAATCTAAATATGTTCCAACTCCTGCTTTTTCTAGAAACACTTTACTGTATGTTTCAGAAAAAATGGCAGCCAAGTGTGTCTGGCAACTTAATCTTCATAAATCACTAGTGTTGTCTTTTGCTCATAGGTCTGTTCCCCTGGGGGCTAGGTTGGTATAATTGCTTTCTCTATAACGGCTCACATTGGCCAGGTCTATGCTACAAACTTAAATATCCTATAAAGCTAACACTGGAGCAATGCAATTACAGTGACCTATCCCCTGGTTTAGACAGTGCTATGTCAATGGAAGGCTCCTCCCAACACCTGTCAAGGACGTGAACTATGCCAATGGGAGAAGCTACCCTGTCAGCACAGTAGCAGCATCACTAAAATGCTCACAGTGGAATCACTGCAGCTGTATGAGCGTAGACCTGCCCTCATTCTCGGTCATAATTCAAAGTGAATGGGACTGAGGGCTGCTATGTGTGGCTAGGAACTGCAAAGAAGCCATGCTGGCAGATAGCAAAGTACAGGCTGGGGAGGTGTCAAGCAGGACTGCTCCAGGTCCAATCTTATGTAAAATATTCATGACTAATCTGGAAGAGAAAGTAAATGGTACAGCTAATGCAATTCAGATGATAACTTGGGAAAAGCAGTAAATACCAGACAGGGCAGAGAAATAATGAGAAAGAGACCGAGAGAGAGCTGAGACGGGGGCAGAAAATAATGGGTTAAGATCCACTTTGGGAAAACACAGCTAAACTTATCTGGGGAAAAAATCCAAAACATACTCAGTGGAGGGAGACTCCTAGGAGAGAGAGAGATGCTACAAACACCTAGCAGCAATAGCAGACAGAAGATTAAACATCTGTGTATAGTGTCACTGGCAGTAAAAAGGCCAGCCCTTGTTTGATATATGCAGAGGCACCATGTATGGATCAGTACAGGGATGGCATCTGTGGCTCTGGCACGGGCTCCCTTGGAGCATTTCAGCTCTGAGCATCACACTGCAAGAACAACCACCAGCACGCCTGAGGCAGTTCCAAGACAAGCACCAGAAATGGCTCAGGGGCTGCCGGGACTCACTTACAAGGAAAGACTAGAAGCAGTAATGATGCGTATTTTGTGAAAGCAACATCTAAGGCAAAGGGGCATAACAGTACAGCCATATCTGCAGGGTCGTAACACCAAGGAAGAGAGGAATTAGACTGGGTGGCAAAGGGGGCACAACCAGGAGCACTAGGATGAAACAAAGGTAAAAACATTTAGAATGAATAGCAGAAATGAGATTCCTGACAGTGAGATGTATTAGGCCATTAGTCTCTCCAGGCTGGAAGGGATGTTGGTTGGCGGATGTACACCAGACTGAAAAAGCTGCAAGGAGATGGCAGCAGAGTTGGCAATACAATCAGGGCATCTTCCCTCTGAGTCAACATTAAACCACTGCCTCAGGGCACTAGCAAGGGCATCATACAGCTAGAAGAGCACTTTTTTGGATCAGATGTAAAGCCAAAGTCTGGATTACTTAAGGTCGTTATAGATCTCATCCTGCTTAAACCTTCCCTGTGCTTTCACCGGGTGGCTGGACTCTTCGCCACGCCCTGTCCTAACCTGTAGTCTCACTGACCAGCTGTCTGAACCATCTGAGATGCTCCAGCTCAAAGATTCAGCCCCACCTGCATTTCACTGGTGACTGAAGGTCCCTTCTATGTATAGTCTGTGACATGCTTGGAGATGAAAGACTCTGGAGAAATATCAGCATGGACATGAATACCGCAGCTGAGTTAAAAGAGAAGGGAAGAGGGCAGTAGTATCAAGACATTGTTGGCTCACACAGTGACCACTGTTCTGTGACACAATGGCTGCAGATGAAGTATCATGTTTTTAGAGTGGAGTGCAAAAAGCTCTCTTTTCTGCTCAGAATGAGACGCTGCTTCTGTCCTCCTCTGTGTCTCTAGCATGCTCTGACGTTACTCCTATCAACGATTTTGTGCCTCCAGTCCTGCTAGGATAATGGTTCCTCAGACGCACATCCCTTAGATCTTCCCCACAGAAATAAAACACTTCCACCAGCCAGAATGGCAAGACCACATTCTGTTTAATAATAACTCCATAAGGACTGTACATGCTGTTGGCCTACATAATCTCCCTTTTCATAGGCATGGAGGTATGTAATGCCAGGTAATTTCCTATGTCCATATGTATAGTTTTTATATATATATTATATATATATTTATAGATATGGTATGTATATATATTTATAGAGATTTTTCTCATAAGTCACATTATCAAAACATGCGAAGAATAACCAGCGAAAAGAGTTCAGGCAAAGAAGTTTTGGAGCTGGAAGACCAAAGGCAAATCACTTTTGTTTTTGTTTATTTGAGGGTGGCACGGGACAAGGCAGGGGTATGAGGGTTACAATGACAGACCCCCTTCTCATTCTGCTTTTTCCTTCCCCATGAAGAACTGTGGCCCTCCATAAAATCCGTCCTTAGGGAACTAAAAGAATCTTCCTTCAGTCCCCCATAAAAATCACACTCAGCTGGAGAAGAGAGTCTTTACATTGCCCTGCTGCAACCCATCCTTGTCCTGTCCCCATATGCAAAAGCAGTTTCATATGCTGAGAATACAAAATCTTAAGCCCCAAACCTTTGGTTGCTTTTAAACGTGCTTCAAGATGCCACTCCCCATTCCCCCACCCACGCCACCCAGAGCTCACTGTACCTCCCACTCTCCAGCCCTTATTCCCCATCCCCAAAGAGAGCTTTTTTTTAAAAGTCCTGCTCATTGTAAAATGATTTTGAGGCTCACTCTGTAGTTTGGAAGATCCTGGGACCCATGGGTGACTCCCCCAATCATGCAAAACATCCACAAAACCAGAGGAGATAAATTGAAACCATCAAACAACAAAATACACCTACAAAACTGCTGCTTCTTTTTACACTGATCCCCCATGCACTACACAGAAACAGTGGAAGGAAGTGGAGTGGGTGCCTGTGCTTGCCTGGATTGGGACTCTGGGGATCTAGGTCAAGAACCTGAATGGGATTTGAGACCTCTAGAAAGGGAGGCAAAAAGGGAAAATGCTTTTACTGATTTTTTAATCACTCCTGCAAAGGGACCTGGGATTCAGGTGAAGCTGGCCTGGATTGCTGTGTTCTCTTGAAATTAACTGTCAGAGTTATCCTGGAAATAACTGCCACCTTTCTCCTGGAGCAGAACTTTTCCTGACAGGCATGGAAACTGGTTGTACCCATGAGAGGAGCAGAACTTGGACTAGATTCCTGAAGGCAGCAAGCATTGAGTCAGTGCAAGGTGGAAGTGGAGGCTGAGTTCTCACCCAACCAGGGGTGTTCTGCAACCCTCTCTTCTTAAGTGTAGCACTTAATATGTTTAACCAGCAGCACTTACCCTCATTTTAGAACAGGTGGGTGCCTTGTTGAATGCCATGAGAAGAAACATTCATAATTGAACAGGTAATTGGTCAATCCCTACATTTCCAGGTCGGGGTGAAAATATTGTCCAAAACAGGGCCTTGGCCTGGTTACATTGCTTCCATCCCAATCCAGACCTGCCTGCACTAGGGAAACCCAAGTTGGTCTGTATTACTCATGTACAGACCTGTCCGTATCCATGCAAGGGAAGACAAAAATATACGAGAAAGGTCTAACTCAGCAATGGGCAGCTTAGATCAATGAGTGTACCATCTAAGTGGCCCTCCTACATCTCCGTGGGCCACAACATTGCTGTAACCAAGCCCGTCTCTATCAGGACAGGGCCCTGTGGTCTCCAGCAAGGGGCCAGTTATTCTGTGTAATGAGAAACACTGCCCTGGGGAGAAAGACAGAAAGTCACCGATACAGCAGAGATGTCGATCACTCTCCTACAGATTCAGCACTGTCCATCTCACCTGGGGAGAGACTAGATATGAAAGAGGGTCCCATCTGGACCCCAAGGCTTCTGAACATAGCGGACACTGTCCCTGCTGTGCTACGGGTGCATATTTGATCCACAATCTGCACCTCACACTGTTTATCCTTCCCTGCACTGAGGTAAGGCACAGCACGTCCCTCTCAGACTCCCTCTTCTATGTGCTAGCTGCACAATGTTCATTCCTTTCCACTTCTCAAGCTAGCATTCAATATGCTGATTGCAGATCACTGGTATCTGAAAGGCTCTTTTGGTAACAGTAGCTTAGACATTTCCCATTGTTTAGAAATGGCTGAAGCAAGCCACGGGGAAAATCGAAAAGGGGGTGAGCTAGAGAAACTTTCCCTCACACCAGCCAGTGTGAGATACTCTGAGCTGGCAGGAAGGGACGGCTCTAGCCTGTGAGAGACCTTCTCCTGACACGGGAAGGCTGAGAGCAAGCCTTTCGGGATTGTGCCACTCAGCTTAATGCCAGCCTGCGTACCTCTTGAGTATTGAAGGGTGGCAGTCTACTGTTTACTGATCTTTTCCTCTATCGGACATTTAAGCCAAATGGGATGGACTCTGGCGATTCAGGGTCTCACCCTGCTCCCATGAAAGACAAGGTCCATGCTGGCTTCAGTTAGAGCAGGACTGGGCACTCACTTGGGACAGTCGCTGGCTGGTGCCCACAGGAGAAGGAATACAGTATTCTGGCTGTTCAAAGGAGACAACGAAAGGAGTAGGTGAATTCTTGAGTGGAGAAATCCTTTCCCCATCCCTCCGCCCCCTTGTTTTCCAGAGAGGTGAGCTAGCTGGCCAATGCATAGGCTTGGAAGGATTCGATTTTTATTGACAACAATCAAAACTAATATTTAGGAAAAGTAAGCAAATGCTGCTTGAGAACTTCTTCAAGTTTGATCTAAGAATATTTACTTTGTATATTTTGACTACAAATTAAGTAGTAGTTCTGCAGAAAAGGACCTGGGGGTTACAGTGGAGGAAAAGCTGGATATGAGTCAACAGTGTGCCCTTGTAGCCAAGAAGGCTAATGGCATATTAGGATGCATTAAGAAGAGCATTGCCAGCAGATCCAGAGATGTCATTATTCCCCTTTATTCGGCTCTGGTGAGGCCACATCTGGAGTATTGTGTCCAGTTCTGGGCCCCCCACTACAAAAAGGATGTGGATGCATTGGAGAGGGTCCAGTGGAGGGCAACCAAAATGATTAGGGGGCTGGAGCATATGACCTACGAGGAGAGGCTGAGGGACTTGGGTCTGTTTAGTCTGCAGAAGCGAAGAGTGAGGGGGGATTTGATAGCAGCCTTCAACTTCCTGAAGGGAGGTTCCAAAGAGGATGGAGAGAGGCTGTTCTCAGTAGTGACAGATGGCAGAACAAGGAGCAACGGTCTCAAGTTGTGGTGGGAGAGGTCCAGATTGGATATTAGGAAAAACTATTTTACTAGAAGGGTAGTGAAGCATTGGAATGGGTTACCTAGGGAAGTAGTGGAGTCTCCATCCCTAGAGGAGTTTAAGTCTCGGCTTGACAAAGCCCTGGCCGGGTTGATTTAGATGGGATTGGTCCTGCCTAGAGCGGGGGGCTGGACTTGACGCCCTTCTGGGGTCTCTTCCAGTTCTATGATTCTATAAGGGGATGGTTGGATGAAATAACATGAACTTGGTAACTAATTGACCATTCATTATCAGTTGGAAATAGGTCAATGGAGGGATGATAGGAGTTACTGTAGAGAACTTTTTTCTGGGTGTCTGTCTGGTGAGTCTTGCCCACATGCTCAGGGTTTAGCTGATCGCCATATTTGGGGTCAGGAAGGAATTTTCCTCCAGGGTAGATTGGCAGAGGCCCTGGAGGTTTTTCGCCTTACTCTGTAGCATTGGGCACAGATTACAGCTGAAGGACTCTCTGCATGTTGGGTCCTTCTAAGTATTTGAATGCTTCAATATCTTTGATATAGGTGAGAGGATTATTCTAAGAGGGGTGGTTGAGATTCTGTGGCCTGCACTGTGCAGGGGGTCAGACTAGATGATCATAATGGTCCCTTCTGACCTTAAAGTCTATGAATCTATGAATGAATCTATGACATGAGATGTTGACAATTTGTGTTTTAACACTTCTGAAGCTAAATAACTTTTTGAATCTCAACATCTGTCATTAAATAATCCTTGTCTGACCTCCCCCAATTTCAACCACCATAATTTCAGGCAACTGTGAAAACTGACATAGTTAAAAAAAGAAAAAAATGACTAAAAATAAAATGGATATTATCCATCAAAATTAAGATATAAAAATCAAATTCTGCCAAGCCTTCTTATGCAGGACCAAGTTCTGTAACAGCACGTGAGCTACACTGAGTTGGGATAGCCTTTAAATTCTGTGATTAACTCCTCCAGGGGCGGCCCTAGACTAGCTGCCAGCAACTGGCGCCCTAGGCGAACCATGCAATCGGCGCCTCCACCTCCAAACACCTCAATGATATTGAGCCACCATTTGGCGCCCCATTTAACTTGGCAACCTAGGTGACCGCCTTGTTCGCCTATATAGATGGGCCACCCCTGAACTCCTCCAGCTCCTTTTTATAGGAGGGGGGTGAGGATGCTATTTAAAAAAAAACTTCTCCCTTGTTATCCTCCTACCTATTTCCTTTTCCCTGCTGCCTGCCCCCCATCCAATACACCCACCTCCATTTTCCGGCTGTGCTGCCAGCTCCACAGACAATATCCATTGTCTGGACATGGTAAGGATGGTCCAGGCGTTAGCTGCGCAGTGGCCTGTCTATACATCTCAGGGCCATTCCACCTTGGAACTGGAATGAGAACACGCACGTCCCCATGCTGCAGGAGGTATATCGCCCCAGAAGCCCACCACAATGCCCAAGCCCTCCCACAGACAGCCCCCGCCCTGCAAACCCAGGACAGGACTCATCAGCTCTGCTTACCTTTCCCTGCCAGCTCTGAAGTCCCAGCGCAGTCAAAGAAAAGGGATGGAATTGGCAGTGGTGACTAAGCATTGCCTGAGATCTGCCAAGTCACATGGAAATGGAAGAGCTGCCAGATGGGAATGAATGTCAGTCACTACAAATTAAGAACAAATTGAAACCAGCCACCTAGAAGTGATACGTTCTGGGTCCCTTTTCTCAGCCCTGTGAGCCCCTGACGTGTGGGCATATCAGAAAGGATGCTGTACAGATGAAAGGCTCCTCCCTCATCCCATTCACCCAGCCAGCTCCCCTAAACTGGGCCTAATTGAAACCGTGTTTTAGGGGTGAAAGACCCTACATCCCACTTCGTGGCTCCATTGAGCCAGCCACTCACAGGAACACATTGGAACTGCTCCCTAGAAATGAAGACTCCAAATCCCCTTACTCTGCACCAGCCAGTTCTTACCCTCCTTGTCCCCACTCCTGACTCAGCCCAATCCAGGAACCACTGGCCAGATGGCGGCAGTAGAGAGCACAGACATGAGAACCAGCGCTGTCTGAGAGCTGATTCAACTACTAGAGCAGCCATGGACAACCTGGACTAGCAAGTGGGCTGCATGAGTGACCCTCCTTCAGCTCCGTGAGCCACAAGACAGTCTCCTGGGATAGGGCAGTTTTTCTCACTGTGCTTGCATGCCTAGAATTAGGATTCGCCGACTCAACGGTAGCAGCGCTTTGATTGGCTGCTGAGGGAGCGCACGGCTCTCGCAGTCAGTGTTGTCATGTGCAATCAGCCCGCCCCTCACTCCACATGCCCTTTCTATGTGCGTGTCACTTCAGTAATACCACTAGGAAAAAAAACGACACTGACAGAAACCAGCAGAGTTTGGCAGCCCTGTGCGTGGGCAACAGTACACAAAATGTTTCAGACCACACATGGAACCCCCATGGGCTGCATGCAGCATGCTGGGCACAGGTGTCTTACCAAGGTACAAGAGTCTGCCGTATTTAAAGACACTCCTCTGTTCAACACAGAACACAAGTCATGGCTCCTGCTAAAGACTTCCCAGCTTTATGGTAGAAAGCAAACTAAGGGAGGGAACATTTAGCTACACGGCTCCAAGCTATGAAATTTCAGAAATATTTCATAACTGCAGCTCTGCTCACCAAGTGACTTTCTGATGGACCACTCACTTCCTTCTCCCAGTCTCCAGATCAAACATGATTATTTGACAAATAAAACAATGTCAGCCCTGTGAGCTCAGCCTGGGCTCTGAGAGCCAGTCTGGACTCTTTCCAGTTCATCACCTAGTCACGTAAGTCAAATTGTGCCCCCAGTAACACTTGTGCAAACCCATGGCCCTCAGTGGATTTGCACATTTGTTGCTAATTAGAACACTCTAATCAATTCTGTGGATGCTGCACAAGAAAGAATAGGATCCAGAACCTTCTCTGAGCTAGGCTGGCTCTGCAGGAATAACACGAGTAAAAGGCAATTCAAAATCTAGAAAGTAACCAGTAACTTTGCAGTCCTCACTTTTTGGGTGCCCAACTGAAGACACTTGCTAATCTGATTTCCAGAAAGTGCTGTAAAGCAGAGATCCTTAAGGCATCTGAAATTGGGCCTCCACAAATTGAAAAATCCAAAACCATGTGTCACTTCTGAAAACCTTAGCATGAGAGCAGCTCTGATTCTGGATACATGCAGGAAGCAGATCTGTTGCATAAGAAAAGTCCATTTTTATACAGTCATTTTAAAGCTTGAAATACATTTTACAAGAGACTCAAAGCAATTGATCAGTTTAAGATTAATATTGCCCCTTTGGCCCTCATTGGGTACGTCTACCCCATAACACAGTCCGTGTCTACATCGTTCCAAAATAACACAGTCCGCATCTACACTACCAGCAGTTATTTCGATAACGTCAAAATAATGTCGAGCTGGAGGACTTCTTACTCCAGCTCCTGTAAACCTCATTTAACAAGGAGTAAGGGAAATCAGAGGAAGAGTGCTCTAACTCAGACTTCCTGCTATGTAGACAGTGCCAAAAGCTGAATTAAGCTATTTCAACTTAAACTTCACAACTGACATAGTTCAAGTTGCGTAGCTTATTTCGGCTTTAGCCCTGCTGTGTACATGTGCCCATTGGGTAATGGCTGATAGCCATGGGAATACTGTTTCCAGATTCCTGACAATGGAGGAGGCATATATGTTCTTGGATGGTAGAGACAGCAGGAGAAGATTTTTACAAAAAAGGCAAGATCTTTATGGAAAACTCTTATAGAATTTAGTAACTTGAAAATAACTGGCTTCTGTAGAAATTACTCTAATCACTGATAGGATTTAATAGATAATGTGATCCCTTCTACAAACTGTTTGAGATGGGTCTATAGAATTCTGTAGCAGAAGTATAATTCTCTAGAGGTCAGAAAACTCCATGGAAAGGTTTTCACTTGCTATTACATTCTGTAGGATTTTCATAAGGTAAATTTCTTTTCTTTTTCTTTATGTCTTTGTTTTTCATGTAATGTGTGTCCGTCACAACTCTCCTATGGAGAAAATGCACATCTCACATACATTTGTCACATATCTTACCAAATGCACAACTTGTCTGCATTAAAAAAATACATCTAACTTAACCATTTGTCCTGGTCCTGTGAATGACAAGGTGGGAGCAGGATACATTTGAAAATACACTGAAATATAGTTACCGTAAACATGCAGGTTGATCCTGACTAGGCACATGGGGGCAGAATGGTTCGGAAAAAATAAGAAGCAGGCTACCCGAACCTTCCCCCCCCAAAGAAACACCCTAAACTCTTTTTGTTTCCCTCAATGTTCAAAAACAGTTGGGTTAATTTTCTTTTGTAAGCCATCTGTTGCAGAGACCCTGCAACTTCCTAGTTTCTCTAGTCTTGCTAAGCAAGACTTCCCCAATCCATGTCGTATCCAGAACAAAGTAGTTCAGATAAATTCAGGATAATGAGTCCTCCCGGGACTTTGGGAGGTGCTTTTCCAACCTTCTCAACCTTGGAAAGTTGGCACCAGCATGTGTAAACATATTGAAATAGATAATTAAACCTCATCACTCAGGAAAGGAGCAATCTCCCTGGGAAGAGACAGGGAAGCACAAAAGAAATGGGGACAACAAGGTGGTAAAAAATTCTTTTGTTGCATATCTGCCCTGAAGCGTCAGCCTCACACCATCCTCCCAAACACTCCTCCCAATGGCATTTCCATTAGAGGAGCGGTGGAGGGGGAAGACAGATCCTCTTGAAATGGAGCTTGCCAGAGAGACTCAGTAGTTCACTGTGGAGTTCCCTCTAATCCCAACTGACAGTAGGAAAGGTGTGTTGCAGAAATACCATCTCCATGGCTCCAATTCACCCTCCTCTTGACTCCTGGACATTATCCATTTCTGTTTGCCTGTGGCTGTCCAAGCTCCTAGCCTCCTGGATAATATGCCTGCCACAATCTCCTCTCCTGATACTTACTGCATCCATATTGCATGGGTTGGGTTCCAAACTTGGCACAGGAGAGGATCATGCCTCGCTCTCCCATGCTGCAAACAGCAGTACTTGTTCTACCATCAGGGAGGAGATAAATGTCTGTGTCCCAGTTGAACAGAGTGGCTCTGGCTTGGAGCAAGTGAAGAAGAGACGCCTCTGGGTTAGTGCAGAGAGAGGGTGATCTTCAGCTTGGTTAATTTATCCAGCCCTCCCACCCTTCACTGGCCATTTGTTGGCATTTCTTTGCTGGAGGGAAGCAATTGCTCATATGCTGCCCACATTTCAAAAAAGACCCAACAAACACTTCTATCATCCCCTGCTGGTTCTGTTCTGTTGTCTGAACATTGATTGCCCACACAAAATTTTTATCTCCTGTTTATTCTCTAGCAAGTCTAGAGACGAGATTATTGGTTAATGTCCCTTCTTCTGCAGTGTGTCTGCAGCAGCAAAAAGGAGAATCACATGGGACCAAAACCCCATCATTCTATGAATCATAAACTTTGTTAACAAAAATATAGAACCCGTACAAATGGGGAATCCCCCACAAAACCCAGCCATCCCCACCCCAGAAAGAGAGATGGGAGGGACTTGGAAAAAGAGACGAGTGCCCAGGAATATTTACATTGTCAAGAAAAAAAACCAGAAAATGTAAAGCAGGAAAGAGTAATGAACAGGAGGGAGGAGAAAAGGTCCCCTCTCACCCTCTTTCCTCCCTTCACATTTGGCACCACAGAGGGACCAGGGACACTGGGATGAGTGTGGTAGTTATAGTCAGTGGTGGTTAGCCTACAGGCCTTCCCCTCTGTTACCCACTTTGCTTAGAACTGTTACTGGCAATATAAAACTGTAGAAAAAGAAAGCAACAAAAAAATAGTGGAAAGTAGTGATACTGGTTTTCCTGCTGTTCCTGGCTTCCCTGCAAAGACAAGGAAGAAAGGATTCTGGCAGCAGCACAGAGGTGGACAAACTCCCAAACGAATGTCAACTTTACGTTACTGCATCTGTACAGTAGAAAGTGGCTGATGATGAGCCCCACTTCCCTGCCCCATGCACGTAGTGCCCAGCAGCTTGTGGAAATATCCCCCCTCCATCTCCCAGGCAGACATACATGTCAAAGCAAGCAAAAGAGAAATGTTTCAAAGAGACTGGCACACAGGGTTAGCTCTGGATCCATACGGCCATGCCATTCACACCTGAGCACAGCCCGTGTCTACATGGACACATCACCCACAGCTGAGCCTGAGCACAGCCCGTGTCTGCATGCATCACCCACAGCTGAGCACAGCCCGTGTCTGCATGGACACGCCACCCACACCTGAGCACAGCTTGTGTCCATACAGCTGTGGTTCTCCTATTAAAGTCCTGTACAGTATTTATCCACATAGCTCATCCATCCTATCAGTGCAGTGGCTACAACATATGCTCTTCTCCTGTATTTCAGCCATAATCCCTGAACCAGTGCAACCTATATCCACAAAGCCACATGTCCTGTACCAGTGCATTCTATATCCCCATGGCCTTGTGCCCTGCTCTTGGCAGATTCTGTATTCACATATCCATGGATCAAAGCAGATTGCAGCCCCAAAACAACATCTGTTCTGCCAAGACAGTTCCTATCCATACAGCCACCTCCCTGCATCAAGCCACTGTTGTATCATGGGAGACACGTGCCAGCATCCAAGCACTCTGAATCCAAAGCCAACCCCCTTTATCAATAAGATTTAAAGTCCCGAGTTCCCCAAGCACCCAGCGTGCTGTCCAGAGTGATGGGGCCAGGAGATCAGTCCATGAAGATGGGCAGGCAGGGCTCTGCCCATCAAACACCTCTGGTCCTTTACTTCTGCTTTGCTAAAAATTAAATGTCAGCGTGGAAGGTGTGTCTGCCTGGGAACCTGAGGCGAGGCTTTCCTGTCCTTTCATTCCCCCTCTGATGGGTGGATTCCTCCATGGCAACATCAGTTGTTTGCTTCCCCCTCCTCCTCATCAAAGGACTGCACCCCAGAGGAAGTGACGTCCGAGACCTTGCGGCTGAGTGCAGCATGTTCTAGCTCCTCCCGGGGTGACAGTGACTCCAGGTCCCGGCATACAGCATCGTCCTCCTCTGGAGAGGGCTTCTTGTTTAGCAGAGGGGCCTTCTCCAGTAGTGGGTTTCCTTCCTCCTCTGTGTGCACCCCTATGTATGTGCTGGATTCGGCCCCACCACCTCCTCCTGGGGCAGTCTGAGGGGGCCACACATCAACAAGCCCGGGGTTCTGGAGCAGGGCCTGCGGCTGCTGCTGTTGCATCTGATGCTGCTGGATGAGGCCACTCTGAATCAAGGTGCTCTCCTGCAGGTTGGACTGGGTCTCCTCAAAGTTCTGGCCTAGGTAGGAGCCGGTGGCGGGGGAAGCAATGAGGGACTGGTCGCTGGTCTCCCAAGCATCAGAGGAGCCCAGGCAGTACATGCCCTGAGAGACATAGGAGTGAGGCCAGCTGTCGTACTGTGTCTGGGCAATGTGATCTGTAGACAGAGAGTGGGAGAGAAAGGGGGTGAAGGGAGGAATTGGAGAGAGAATGAGAAAGTGAGACAGGACAACGGAAGCAGAGAGACAGGGGCAGTGGAGAGCAGAGAGATATGGGGACAGGCACAGACAGAGGAAGGGCAAGATGGGAGCCATTGGAGATGGCAAACAGACAAACCTGCAGCACTTGGGCGATTCCAGCAGAGGCTGGTCTCCCCTGCTGTGCCTGAGGCTCAGGAAAATGGGGCCGGGTCTTGTCTGCTGACCCTGACTCTACAGGCAGCTGCAGGCGTGGGGCACGTTCCTCTCTCTGCCAGATCTCAACTGAGGGAAAGGGCAATGCTAACCCCCCAGAGAATAAGGGACCTAGTAGGGCTGGAAAGGGGCCTGGCAGCAAGAGCGGGAAGGGGCAGGGGTGTCTAGGACCAGGGCAGTGGGGTAGGGCTCACCCTGGCTCTCCATCAGCTCCTGGTAGTTCTCACTGTAGTTGCCTGCTGTGTTCTCCTGGTTGGAGTTGACACTCACATCCTCACCATCCATGGAGGACCAGGCCATCAGAGTGGCCTCGGAGATGGCGAACTGCTCCATCACCCCTGTACCAGAGAGAGCCAGGGAGAGCCAGTGGAGACATGAAGAGCCCCTCACCTACCCCTCCATCCCCCTACACACATACACTAACTCCTCTGAAACACTGATCCTTCCTATTCCTGCCTCAGGGGCATCACCTGCTCCCCACCATGCACCCCTTGGGGTCTTCCACCCCCGACCCGAGTTGCACCTTCCCACCTTACCTCTGTCCATTCCCCTCTCTGTACCACCCAGGCTCCCCTCTCTCAGGATTACCTGCAAGAAATCGGGCCTCCTTCTCGCCATCACTCAGGTCCGAGTAGGCATCAGCATCTTTGAGCACAGCCTCCTGCATGTGCTGCTGCTGGCTGCTACCTTTGCCCCAGCCTTGCCACTCAATCATGTGAGCCATACGGCCCTGTCCCATCGCTGTTGGCTTTGTGACGTGATCCTTCATGCTGCGGGATATCCCTAAGGGGCCAGACATCAGAAAACAAGGAGGGGCTATTACACAGCTCCAGAGCTGTTTGTCACTCTATTCCCTCCTCCCCAGAAAGGGGCTCCCCACATCGTCCCATGGACTCCTTCCCTAGATGGTGCCCCGCCTGCCCCTGTTCAAAGGGCCTACGAAGCAGCTCCAGAAGTCACAACTGCTCTCCATACCCCTCCCTGATATGGTTTCCCATCACTTCCTGGATGGGTCCCAGAGAGCTGCTGTGGCTTGAGGGGAGACACATTCCTCCAGCCCCTAAAGGGTGCTGCCAGGAGAGAGGCCAAACAGTATGCTGCATTACCAAAGGGGCTTTTGGGGCTGCTGCCCAGAGCCCCAGGCTGAGGAGGCCCCTTTAGCTCAGGGCCCTGGACTGCAGCCTGTAAAGCCCTTGTGAGGTGGTGCAGTGCACATAACAGAATTCATTGCGCACATGGACAGGAAAGAGTAACGGGAACACTGGTTTTTGACTAGAACGTCCTGTTATAAAGGGACCCTGATGGCTCCAGTCAGCACCACTGACGGGGCCATTAAAGGTTTGGTCGGCGGTGCTAAGGCAGGGGAGCACGATCTGTCCTTGCTCCACACAGTGCCCTGGCCATGGGGCTGCTCACATGGCTCCACACTCCCATTGCCTGGGAACCACAGCCAGTGTGAGGTGCGGGGCAGTGTTTGCATCTCACAGCAGCACTTGGAGCCTCCTGGCCTGTGTAGGAACTAGACCGGCCAGCCACCTCTGGGGTGCAGCGCGGTGCCAGGACAGGCAGGGAGCCTTCTTTAGCCCTACTGCACCACTGACCAGGAGCTGCTCAAGGTAAGCCCATGTACATACCTCAAACCCCAACCCTCTGTCCCCTCTGTCCCAGCCTGGAGCTCCCCCAAACCCACAGCCCCCTCCTGCACCTCAAATCCTTAATCCTTGGCCCCACTCCAGAGCCTGCATCCCTAGCTGGAGCCCTCACTCCCCACCCCATACTCTATCCCCTCTGCCATCCCAGAGCCCCCTCTCATACTCTGACCCCTCACCCCCTCCTCACCCCAGAGCCCACTGCATCCCCAGTCCAGGCCCTCACCTCCTTCTGCACCCCAAGCCCCTGCCTCAACCCACAGCCTGCTGCAACACTCTGAATCCCTCAGCCCTGCCTCCCAGCCTGGAGCCCCCTTCTGCACCACAAACCCCTCATCCTGGCCTCTCCCCAAAGCCCACACCCCAGCTGGAGCCCTCACCCCCTCCCACTCTCCATTTCTCTGCCCCAGCCTGGAGCCCCTTCCCACACTCTGAACCACTAATTTCTGGCCCCATTCCAAAGCCCAAAACCCCAGTTTCTCCTCCACCCCTCCTGCACGCCAACAACCTGCCCCAGCGAAAGTAAGTGGGGGGGGGGGGGAATAATCCACTGAAGGAGGGGGAATGTAGCGAGCTGGGTGTGGGGCCTTGGGGAAGGGGCAGGACAGGGGTTGTGGAGGTGGGGAAGGGGCAGGGAAGATGCTTGGTTTTTTGCAAGTAGAAAGTTGGCAACCCTATCTGAGGGTTCTCACCAGAGAAAGACGACTTAGCCAGAGCCCCAATTCCATAGGCATTGGAGTTCCGTTTCAGCTTGGGGAGAATGGAGGTTGTGTCTTCCATGGACAGCTGGAAAGAGAAAAATTGTGAAGGTGTGAGAGAAAGGGTAGAAAAGAAGGAAAGAGAAAGGAAAAAGAAACCAAGAGTAGGCGAAGAAGAGGATGAAAATGAGAGATCAGTTGCAGAGCTCAGGGAGACAGAGGAAAGATGGGAAGCAGAAGAAAATGATGAGAGAAAGAATACAAAGGGAAGGGGGGAAAGGGATATGATCCAATCTGGACAGAGAATCTGCATAACTCTCTCTCAGGGCTGCATGAGGGGAGAGTAAGATTGGGGGGAGGCCCCTCCCAGGGACATGTTGTCCTCCCCCTGTCTCTATTTTGATGACTGTGGTGAGTTTTTCTGTATGGTGACTGCTGGTTTGGGGTTCAAGGAGTAGAGGATGAGAGAGTGATGAGGTGACAGCGCAGCAGGGCAGGCGGCAAGAAGCAGTGATAACAGGGGAAGAATATGCTTCGGGACATTGCTTTCTCTCACATTTTAAATAATCTGTAATGAAAAATAAAATGATTCCCCTGTTACCAACCCATTTACAGCTACAACAAAAAGCAAACAAATAAACCTCATCTCTGTAATGCCCAAACATTCCTTTCCCTGTGCTCAGCCTCAGCTCAAGGGGGGAGGGGTTAATTGGGTGCCTGTTTTCCTAGAAGTGCCTTATTCTCCTTCTTCCTTGAGAATGACTAGGTCTTGAACTGCACTCCACTTGAACTAGTTTCTCTGCAGCTAAATCTATCAGATTCCTTTATGCATTCCCTCCAAAATCACAAGACTTTGGATGTGCTTATAAAATTAGGCACCTAAGACCATAGTTAGGCACCTAGGGGCTGATTTTTACAGGAGCTGGGCAACCAGTTGTCTCATGCCCACCAATAACAGATGAAGATATGCATGAACAGCTCCTCTGAACATCGTAAGAATGGCCACAATATCCTGTCTCCAAGGGTATGTCTACACTAACTCGAATTAGGGAGGCTAATGTAGGCATTCGAAGTTGCAAATGAAGCCCGGGATTTAAATATCCCAGGCTTTATTTGCATTGTCCCGTCCGGGCATCATTTTTAAATCCCCTTAGTCCGAACTAACTGCCCGTGGCTACACGCAGCAGTCAAACGTTAACTCGAACTAATGCTTTAGTTCGAGTTAACTGTTACACCTCGTGGAATGAGGTGTAACAGTTAACTCAAACTAAGGCCTTAGTTCGAGTTAACGTTTGACTGCTGCGTGTAGCCACGGGCAGTTAGTTCGGACTAAGGGGATTTAAAAATGGCGCCCGGACGGAAAGATGCAAATAAAGCCTGGGATATTTAAATCCCGGGCTTCATTTGCAACTTCGAATGCCTACATTAGCCTCCCTAGTTCAAACTAGGGGGCTAATATAGACATACCCCAACAGTGGTTGATGCCAAATATTTCAGAGGGAATGACCAGGACAGTGGGGATCTTTTGTTTATGCTTAATAATCCCTGACTCCCTGTGTCTACAGTCCCTGGCTGTATCTACAATGGCTCAATCTTGCGCAAATGTGGCTGCTTTTGCGCAAAAACTTGCCAGCTGTCTACACTGGCCACTTGAATTTGCGCAAGAGCACTGACTTTGTAACGTACAAAATTAGTGCTTCTTGCACAAATACTTTCCCGTTCCCACTCGGGAAAAAGCCCTCTTGCCAAGAATACTTGCACAAGAGGGCCAGTGTAGACAGGGAAGAACTGTTTTGTGAAGCACTTTTTGTGAAAAAGCATCCGTGCCAATCTAGATGCGCTTTTGCGGAACTACTTTTAATGGAAAAACTTTTCCGTTAAAAGTATTTCTGCAAAATCATGCCAGTCTAGACACAGCCAGAAAGTAATAGTTTTTGCCTTCCGAACATCCCCTGGCAATGAGTTCCACAGGCTCACTGTGTCTAATGTGAAGTACTTCCTTTGGTTTAAGCCTGATGCCTATTCATTTCACTGGGTGACCCCTGGCTAATGTGTTATGTGATGAGAGTGTTATATTACTATGCAGAGGACCAGTGCCAACAAGGTCAATTAATCAGGATGAATACAGCCCACTCCCAACAGTCAATGAAAAGGTGTGAATACCAAAAGAGGGGAAATTACTCGTAGTAAGCTAGCCATTCCCAGTCCCTATTCAGACCCAGTCTGAGAGTGTCAAGTCTGCATTTGAATTCCCGCTCTGCAGTTTCATGCTGAAGCCTGATTTTGATCTTTTTTTGCTCAAGTGTGACAACTTCAAAGTCTGTTACTGAGTGCCCAGGGAGGCTGAAATGTTCACCTGCTGGTTTTTCAATGTTGCTATTCTTAATGGCTGATTAGTGTCCATGGCCCAGTTGGGCCAGTATACACGGCAGAGGGGCATTATAGGCTCTTGGTGGCATAGATCACATTACAGGATGTGCAGGTGAATGAGCCTCTAATGGCATGGCTGATCTGGTTAGGCCCTATGATGGTGTTACTAGGGTAGATAAGTGGGCAGAGTTGGCAATGGGGTTTGTTGCAGGGTGAGTGTGTCTGTTGTGTGGTGTATAATTGATGGTTGAGGATTTGCTTCAGGTTACAGGGGCTGTCTGTAAGTAAGGACTGGCCTGCCTCCCAAGGCCTGTGAGAGTGAGGGATCATTTTCCAGGATAGGTCATAGATCCTTGATGAAGAGCTGGAGAGGCTAAAGCCAAGCCCTAAGGTACAACTGCATTTGCTCCAATCCTTCAGATGGAGCCGAACACTTACAGGATCTACATCAAGCATGCTTAAAACTGCAGTAGCCACCTGGGAAAGTAATGGAAGATTGACAGAGCCAGACGGGTACCCAGAAGTCACCTACTACAGGACAGGTCCAACAAGGAAAGTAACAGAATCCCACTGGCCATCACCTACAGCCCCCAGCTAAAAACTTTCCAGCACATCTTCCAGGATCTACAACCAGAAAGCAGATACTCCCCAAGGGTATGTCTACACTACAAAGTTAATTCGAACTAACAGACGTTAGTTCGAATTAACTTTGATAGGCGCTACACATACAAACCGCTAGTTCGAACTTAATTCGAACTAGCGGAGGGCTTAATTCGAACTAGGTAAACCTCATTCCACGAGGAGTAATGCCTAGTTCGAATTAAGCAGTTCTAATTAAGGGCTGTGTAGCCCCTTAATTCGAACTAGTGGGAGGCTAGTCCTCCCCAGCTTTCCCTGGTGGCCACTCTGGGCACCACCAGGGAAACTCGTCTGCCCGCCTCCCGGCCCCGGAGCTCTTAAAGGAGTACGGTTTGGCTACGGTGACCGTGTCAGGTGACGAGGAGTAATGCCTAGTTCGAATTAAGCAGTTCTAATTAAGGGCTGTGTAGCCCCTTAATTCGAACTAGTGGGAGGCTAGTCCTCCCCAGCTTTCCCTGGTGGCCACTCTGGGCACCACCAGGGAAACTCGTCTGCCCGCCTCCCGGCCCCGGAGCTCTTAAAGGAGTACGGTTTGGCTACGGTGACCGTGTCAGGTGCAAGCCTGCCAGCACCCAGCCAGCAGTCCCTGCACCTGGCACGGCTCAAGGCAGCCACCCGCTGCCACCCCGCCCTCCGCCTGTTCCCGGGACCAGGCTCGCAGCGCCCGCGCACCTGCCCCGGCCCG